ATTAAGTTCTTTGGTCTCATAGCTTCTGTTAATGATAGCTATTATTTCTTATCCATAGATATGAGGTACGCAGTATTTTTCTTGTGTTTGTGTGTCATTCCTTCATCTGATCAGAATGGGCTGTGTGAATGCAGATGATAATAAGTTGAAGAGTTATTTCTATTAAATATTTAAAAACTATTATTTTCATTCACATTTCTGAAATAATTGATTCTACTGCTTGTGTATCTAAATATTGACAGTAATATACTCAGCTGATCATAGTTGATGAAAGAAATAGAGGACAGGAAATTAGCAGTATGTATTCTGTATCTTGTGTACACTATGATCTATTGAATTAAATGAAAAAGGAAGAAGAGTAACATGGGTTCATAAATGACAGTGCACATGCGCAGTACAACCATAGGAGAAGGGCAGCTCTCTGTTAATTAAAGTCGGAGTTTTCTTAAAGGTCATTTGAGATGACCTAAAAAAAGGTGGTAATGATTTGTTCTAAAAAAAAAATTTAAGAGGAGAGAAGGGGAGAGGAAAGGACATGTGGGTGAAGAAGTAGGAGTGCAGAGGGAGTGAGGTCAGAGCATGGGGTGTTGGAGAATACATATTTTGAGGGGTGGAGGGGTGTGTGTGGGTTTGAAGTGTTTGATAGATGGTGGCCGTGGAGCATCTGTAGTGGACATTATATGATTATTTCTTACTTCACGACAAGGAAAATTGATTTCCTACGTGTTTGAGTCCTGATTAGGTTTTAGGGTTTTAGATATGTCCTTCAATAGGTCTTTAGAATTATGGAGGACAGAAAAGCTCTGGGCATGAGCAAAAAGAAATATTGCAAACAGAAGGACCATAGGAGCCATGATGGATGCATCAAAATATTACCTGCCTTGGCTACAGTGGAAAATTGCTGTTATAAGAGAATGGCATACATGTTTAATTCTTTTGTAATAAAAGTTATGGTTGAAAATATGCATTAACTCAACCTCTTGGAGTGGTATGTTAAATATTTTTTAATGACAACCAACTTTATTCCTCTGGAACAATTTCCCAAATGACTAGTGATTTACTGGCTTTGATACATTGTATTGTATACCAGATGTCGTCTGTTAGAATTCTGTAATATAAAAAAGAAACAGTAGCCCTTCTTTCAATTATTTAGAATATCCTTCAAGTCTAATAAGACATTTTTATTCATTTGATTAATGTCAGATTGAATGGTATCTTTCTGATTATTATTTGTTTTCTGAGTAATTTTTTAAAGGCAGATTGACAATATACATTTTTCCAGGTAAATGTTACCTCTTTAAAGAACACAATTCACTTTGAATATGCAATTTGATTTTGAACATAATATTGAAGGTGTGATCATGACAGGAAAATACAGACTATAAACTGAAATATCAACAACAATAACAACCATAATAAGCTATCTTGCAGAGAAAGGTTGGAAACCGATCTTTACCTGAAGTGCATATAATGAACAGAACAGGCTTGGGAAAGCCAATATACAAACTCGGAAGAGGTAGATGCTGTGTCAATGTCAAATGAAGGGCTGTACATTTTGTGGCCCAATGCCTGGGCTTCTTCCTTCAGCTGTCCTGCCCACTCCCATTCTTGGTTGTATTTTCCATTTTAATAAACTGTCTATATTTCTAGTCACATTTTCCTAGCACAATCCTTTGTCTTGGGAAGAAGGGGTTTGCCTGGACCTGTGTTTTTTTTTTTTCCTTTTCTCTGACTTTTGCCTCCCTGGATACTGACCCAAAATCAAAGCACGCTTTTTCTCTGATGCTCCTGGGCTCTTGGCTTTCTTCCTTTCTCTGACTCCCATGCATGACTTTCTGTCTCCCCAACTCCACCTCCCTCCTCCAGAAGCTATTTAGAATTACAGATTGCCCAATTCATTGTCTTTCAGACTCTACTAAAAATTGTTCTCAACCTTTCTTCTGAGTCTGTTTTAAACTTTTTATATTATTATTGTTATTATTATTGTTTATTATGAGAATAAGAAGTCAAATGGGAGCTTTTGACTGTCTGGTAACAATGTATAGAGAACAACCCCAATTCAAGGTCACTGTGTTATGAGAGAGAGAGAAAGAGGGGGGGGAGGGAGGGAGGGAGGGAGGGAGAGAGAGAGAGAGAGAGAGAGAGAGAGAGAGAGAGAGAGAGAGAGAGAGAGA